CACGAGTGGATGGACAATCAACGGGTTAACAAAGGATCCCCGGATTTAAAGGTGTCACAAAATCAAGTGAAGTCACAAGGCCTGGGTAAAAACAAGAGGAAATGGACTGTTAATGAAGATATTAAATTCGTTGTGGCCCTTTTGAAACTAGTTAACCGTGGAACTCATCGGGTTAATAATGGATTTAAACCTTAGATATTTAAATATCATCGAACAATCCTTTTTAGAGAAGTTGTTGGGCAAGAGAATTAAGGCCAAGCTACATATTGAGTTGTGAATCAAAGTTTTGAAGAGGGACATTTGCATTTTTCATGGCATGGTAAACGGTCTTCATCCAAGTAGATTTGGATTTGATATGTGGAACAATATACATATAGTTAACGTCTGGAGTTGGGGTTTGCATTTCTCATGACATGTTCAGCTTCTGAACATATGTATTTAAATGGAGAATTTGTAGAAAGATGTATGGTGAACAAATTTATATTTATCTTTCTTTGGTCTGTGGAACAATATACATGTAGAATTATATTGGACATTGAAATTTATGTATTTTTTTTTATTTGTTCTGTCTAATAATTGATTTTACTTATTTTTTTCTGGCAAGTTTGTTCATTATGTGAGTGTACTGATTGTACATTTAATCTTATTGGTCTTAAAATTAATAGGAGTACTCATTGCAAGGGAGTATGTCAAATCAAGTTAGAATTCAATGATAAAAAAAATTATTTTAGTCAAATTTTATTTCATTCTAATAGAAATTATTTTATCCAAACATTAGAATGTAATGCACATTTCATTCCAATAGTTAATCCTAAATTAATTGCTAAACATTATAATGAGAATACATATTTTATTTCATTCTCATGTTCATTCCATTCTCACATTCTCGTGTTCGTTCTATTCTCATGTTAATTTTGCACTATAAATCTCCACCTTATAGATCGCAAGTCAAAAAAAAATATGTAGTGAAAATGTTATGATTGAATGTTTTTACTTAGTATCCTAAGACTTTTTTTTATTTATTGTGGTAAAGAGATGTGTTTTCAAGGAACTCGAATTTTAGGTTGATTGTCTCAACCTCATCACTATATCTTAGAAATAGTTAAATTAGGACTCTTGGTCTCAAGTCTTTATCACCGACTCTTGATTGCTCGGAGTAGCATTTTATTTTGATTCTAATTCCTTGGTGTCTATCACCAACTCTACGTAATAGAAGTGGTAATAGACTAAAATTCTAGGTCCTAGATTGTACTTTAATCGAAATAGGATTCATCTAATAGAAACGGACAAGCAAAGGAAGCGTTGGCCGGATTTCTCTTCAGGAAGTAGAGTGTCAGCCGGTCGACATTCACTCGCCAAAAGGCCACAATCCGGTTGGCACTTTTGCCGGTCAGCACTCCTTTGCCAAAAAGGGGACGCCACAATTTGGTCATACTTCCAAGCTAAGTGTCGGCATGCATAGGATCTCTAATTATGATTTAAATTTTTATTTAAATTTAAATTAACAAGTAAAAAATTTGATTTGATATAAATGAATCTAGTTGACAAACACAAATTTAAAGGACATAACAAAATTTAAATAAAGATAAATTCAAATTTAAAAGAGAGTAAAGATGACTATTGAATCTTTAACAGGTGATAAAATCTCATAATTAAATGTTTGAGTATCAATGCACATTTGGTTCAATTATACTCCTTATCTCGTGAAGGTTTTATTTTTTTGAGGTCAAGGGTTCGAGTCCCCTTTTCCAAAAAAATAAAAGTTTGAGTAAAAATTTGAGTCTCTCTTTAAAAAAATGAATTTTCTTTTATTTGGTATAAGTTTAAGTTAAGGATTAGAACAAATTTTTTAAATTTTTTTGCTCAAATTTAAATTTGAATCGAAACATGCTCTTACAAGACACAGGTTCCCCACATCTACTATATCTTGACGATAACAGTATCGTTTTACACAACCAACACCGTCTTATTTGTCTTTTTTACAACTTGTCTGTGTCTATTACTTTGATGCCCAACAGTGTCTACCAGAAGAACTGAATAAATAGGAGGTAGTTCCTCCCAAAAGAGATACACCAAACAAGAACAGAGAAAGAGTCATGTTGTTGATTTAACATTAGACGTATCTGCTTCGTTGCTGATGGCGATTAACATTTTGCGTTCACTCCAATCGACAGATTAGTCTTAATCCACAATTTCATTAAATCTGCAGCTTTCATGAATTTCAGCCGCAGGGAAATTGATCCATGAATGTGTTGAGGACCATAAGAATGTGTCAAATACAGGACAGATGAGGATTGAATCCGTAAAATCTTTGGTCGGGCACACTCAATCAAATCCATTTTTCAGATAACTTCTTTCCAAAAACAACCGGCTGGAGAGGAAGGAACACAATTTTGTTTCGATACATTGTTTTTTTCACTTAAAAAACGAAAACGTTTTAACGTGTTTCGAAAATCTTTTGATTCATTTAGAAAATATAATGCTAAAATAAAAATTTTAATAAAAAATTTTTTAAGAAAATTATTCGAAATATACCAAGTATCTTGAAATATCTTAAAACATTTCGAAACAATTGTGTAAAAATATTGAAAAATTATAAAACACCTCGAAACATTATGAAACACCTCAAAATATTAGAATTTTGATTTCATTATTAATTCATTTCAATCTCCTCAGAAACAAAAATATTTCAAATGTTTCGAAACAAAATTTTGATCTTTGCTAGAGAGAAATGTTATGCTCGTCAAATTTAATGACTTTAACCCCTTTATCATCCTTTTAATGGTCTGGTCTATCATGTCACCAGTGCTTTATTTGGTATGGTGGAAAAATAAGATGATGAAAAGTTGGAAGGATATAAAGTTGGAATAATAAATAAAACATCATGTTTGATAAGAAAGGAAAGTAGGAATGATGAAAAAGTGGATAGATTAACTTTCCTTCCAACTCACCAAAATCAATCTCTCTAAAATCGGAAGGAAAATTAATGAAAAGTTAATTATTTGTATTGAGATATATCTTATTTGTCTATATATCTTATATATACATTAATTTCATATAAAAATACAATAATAAAATATGTATATATATTTTAAAAAATTTTAAAAATAAAAATTTTAAATTAAAAAAATATATTTTTTTCATTTTAAGTAAGGGTGAAAATTTTTGACTCAACACGATAACACGACTCGAACTCGATACGAAAATAAATAGGTCAACTCGTAATTCGACACAACACAATTAATTAAATGAGTTAAGTTAGGTTTGACAAATATTCGACACAAACTCGTAATGACTTAACACGAATCTAATACGAAATGACTCGACTCTATTGTCACATTTAATCTTAGTCAGCACAAAAAAAAAATAGTCATTTTTATTTTTCATCCATCCAACCAAACATAAAGGAAGGAAAATGTATTATTTTTACTTTCCATCCTTGAAGGATAAAAAGTATATCCCTACTATTTTCCATCCTCCTTACCAAACATAGCATAAGAAGACTTTATCATGGAGACTATTGAGATTAAAAATAACAAAAAAATATGCAAGCAGTATGGATCGATACCACCTATGAAGCACGGATACGGATACGGGATACAGATATGATATAATACGGGTACGAAAATGCGGCAAAATAAAAAAAAAACAGGATACGAGTATGGTTAGGATACGTCCATAAAATATATATTTTTTAAAATTTTATTATTATATTTAATATAATAATTATGATTTATAAAGTAAATCACACTTCTATCAAAGATTTATAATAATAACTAACCACCAGACTCAGTCAATCGTCAGTGTAGTGAGTGAGAGAGAGAGATAGACGATCGTCGTCGAGTATCGACTAAAAGGAGTGGGGAGACTTGACGAGCTGTGGAAAAAAAGTGTACAGGTTTTAGTTTTTTAGACTTTTAGTTTAATAATATATATATTTTTTTTGCAAATAAGGGCCTAAATATATTGCTCTTGTGCCCCTATATTTTTTTAAAATTCGAGTAATACCCCACCGTATTCTTATGCGTATCCCACGCTTATCCGGCCGTATCCGAAAATTAATTTTTTTATTTTTTTATTTTAGGATACTTTTCAGACGTATCCGATACATATTCGTATCCAAAAATATCTAATACGGATATTTTGACCCTTTTGAAGTATCTGTGCGTCATAGGATACCACGTAATGGCGCATTCTGTGTTCATTCCATTCTGCAGATTGATCTTATTCCACAATTTCACAGGAATTTCAGCCGTAGGAATGTCCCAGTCGAATCAGCAAAACCTTAAAATGTACAATTATGCCTTTAAATGATGCTTGTAGGAAGAAACGAATTCTGAAATTTAGCTTGGGTGATTAAAGTATTTTTTTTTTTTTTTGGTTTAAATAGTTTGGGGAGTATGAGTCAGCTTACACACATTTCGACTAACTCCTACCCCTCTCCGGTCTGGTCAAAGGCAGACCATTCATGTTGATGCCAGAATTAAGATATTCATAAGAAATAAATTCCTCATGACCTGACCACGAGAGAATTGTCAAGATTCGAATTCAAGACATTTAAATTTATAACTCGTATGTTACCAATTGAATTACCTCTTGAATATTAGGTGACTAAAGTATGTGCATATAGGATTGGATGACATTTTCAGCTCGTAAAAAAGTTGAGGGGGCGAGTGAACGACATATAGTTTGGGAATATTTATACCTAATCATGATATCGAATAAACGAGGTATCAATTTTATTTTATTTTTGTTCGGGGGCCATATCATTGCTCCTGGATTCGATCCGAATATGTCCCTTTCAGTGGCTGGCGGTCACAAATATGTCCAGCTTCGTGTTGACAAACAAGCAACGATGGAATCGACGTGTAAAATATAAATTAAATTATTATTTTTTTCCTAAGTACCAAAGGCCAAGGCATATCCCACAAATATTCCTCATTGTGCTTAGCAATCTTCAAATTTAAATAAGTCCCAGTGACAAAGCACTTCACGTCTGCATGCATGGTGTGGTGCAAACTGTAAAAATGGCTCCTCAACTTTCTGAAACATTGCAACCTGAGGAAGAGAAGCAAGATGAAACGGAGATCAAAAAGATGGATATCACTTCTCAAGTGTTACCTTTTCATAAGCTTTTGAGCTATGCCGATGCATTGGATTGGACCCTGATGGCTCTCGGTACCTTGGGATCCATTGTCCATGGCCTTGCTCAGCCCGTTGGCTATCTGCTGCTCGGCAAAGCCCTCGATGCATATGGTAAGCACATCGGTCACACGGATTCCATGGTAAATGCTCTGTACAAGGTATACCTCTCTTCTCTGGAAGATAAAACCATAATTCTAATTTAGGAGAATTACAACTAAACTTCTCGAGGTTGTCGCTTAATCCTCAGATTCCTTGACATTTGAAATATTACACACAGACTTCCTGAAATTTGTACTCGCATAACACTTAGACTCCGGCTATAAATATATCAGTTAATAAATTACACTTAAACCCATTAAAATTTATAAGTATATAATACTTAGACTCCTTAAATTTAAAATATTATATTTAGAGAATATAATTGTATAATAATTACAATTTTTGAAGAAAAAAATAAATTTTTATTGTTAATTTTATTTCAATAAATGATACAATATAACATGATTTTTTGTTGTAAAATTTAAAATATTTGATTAGAGTATTTTTTGGTTAAGTATAATATTTTAAACTTAAAGGGTTTAAGTATTATATACTTACAAACTTTAGAGGGGTTTAAATGTAATTTATTAACGGATATATTTACAACAAATGTCTAAGTGTTATGCACGTACAAATCTCAGGGGATCTGTGTGTAATATTTCAAATATCAAAGGGTCTGAATAATTAAGTGACAAACCTCAAGAAATTTGGGAATAATACTCCCTTGTAATTTTCGTATAAATGGAACTCCAATAAAAATTCTTAATTTTATCGGTATTCTTGTTCAGGTTGTCCCATTTGTGTGGTACATGGCCATTGCCACATTCCCTGCTGGAATACTAGGTAGACTTTCTATGTATCTGTCCCTAGAAACAGTACAGTTCAAGAAGACGTAATTATTACAGTGCAGGTTCAAGGAGATAAGAAAACTGATCTAATTATATTTCCGGCTCCTAAACAAGAGTGTTCCCTCATCCTTACATTGGAATGTGCAGAGGTTGGGTGCTGGATGTATTCAAGTGAGAGACAAGTGGCACGATTGAGATTGGCATTCCTGAGATCAGTTCTTAACCAGGAGGTTGGGGCTTTCGACACAGATTTAACTGGTGGAAAAATCATCAGCTGCATAAGTAACCACATGAGTGTCATACAAGATGCTATCGGGGAGAAGGTACAAAAGATTGTGCTCGTTTTTTATCAACTTAATATAGATTTCATCAATCAATAGATACATTTGTGATTTCACTCATGACCATTAAGGTTGTTCTCCCTTTTGATAGTTGACACATGCATCTACCTATATCACTTGGTATTCAAGGGCCATGCAAATGAATTGGTATAGGTTTGCCAGAAAATCACCAGGTATAGATTATTTGTTACTGAATGATGCCCTCTACCTAATTAAGTGCAATGTTTAAGAATGCAGAACCAAGCAGTATGGCCCGAAACAAATTCTATACTTCACAAATTAGGCAAAATAAACCCACAAAAGCCTATATATATTAGGTGGCTCCACAAAATTTGAAACAATTTTTTCATTGTGTACCTGCATCTATCTTATACACACACACAAGATATGTTGTCACTTGTGGAAAAATACACACCCAAAAATGGATGGTTGACCCTCAATCGAAAATTTTATTTATGGTTAACAAGCATCCTAATTACTATACATGGTCCTCAATTCACAAACTTCAAATTCTAATAGCATTGCAGCCAATTAGTTTATATACATATAGTTCGCATGAAGATCATTGCATAAAATTGAAATGCTAAAAAACTTCAAAAGGATATATTTCCTTCCCCCACAGTTCAAACCTGACAAAAAAAAAAAAAAGCAAAAAAGTTTCTGGAGTCATGATTGTGTCAGAATATTGTGCAATTTCATCTAACAAAAGTTTTTACCACAGTTGGGACATTTTCTATCATGCTTTGCAACTTTCTTTTCTGGAGTCTTCATTGCTTTCATTTCTTGCTGGGAAGTGTCGCTGCTCTCCTTGTTGGTAGTTCCTCTGATTCTTATAATCGGAGCCAGTTATACAAAGAAAATGAACGGCATTTCAGCTACAAAGATGCTGTACCTGTCACAAGCTACATCAATGGTAGAACAGGTAACAAGTCAGTAATGTTACCGATAACTCATCTCACACCTTAAGCAAGTAGGGAAGATCCGGTGTTCAAAATACATATCGAGTATATTTAAGGCTGATCTCAAATTTCTGTGGCAGACAATTTCTCAAATCAAAACGGTGTTTGCATTTGTCGGTGAGAGTTCAGCAATCAGGTCTTTCTCAAAATGCATGGAGAGACAATTAATGATAAGCAATGGAGAAGCATTGATAAAGGGAATTGGAACTGGTACGTTCCAAACTGTGACCTTCTGTTCTTGGTCTCTGATCGTATGGGTTGGAGCTGTGATTGTTGTAGCCAATAGATCAACTGGAGGAGAGGTCATAGCTGCAGTTATGAGCATTCTTTTTGGAGCTATGTAAGAATGAAAACATATAATAGAATTGCAAATTAGCATTTCTCAACCATAAACAAGGCATAATTCATTTGATAGACATAACAATGAGCCTTTTTCCTCCTATAATTTCAGATCGCTCACTTATGCTGCACCAGACATGCAAATCTTCAATCAGGCAAAAGCTGCAGGGATGGAAGTTTTTCAGGTGATCACAAGAAAACCAAAAATAAGTTATGAATCAGAAGGGAAGGTGCTTGAGGTGGTTGATGGCAACATCGACATTCGTGATGTACACTTTGCTTACCCATCCCGGCAAGAAAAAATTATCCTCCAAGGGTTTTCATTGTCAATCCCAGCAGGAAAGGTGGTGGCTTTAGTAGGTAGTAGTGGCTGTGGGAAGAGTACCATCCTCTCCCTCGTGACAAGATTCTATGATCCCACAAAAGGTTTGCAGTTCATTCCCAGCTATCTAAGGACCTCACCATTTTATGGGAACAAATCGCTAGATTCACATGTTCTGCATATGGATGACAAAAGAAGCACATCTACACACAACATCTACGTAAATATTTCACCTGTATACTTGGGAAAATGCATGAATGCATGAGATATGAGCTGCAAATTATGTTTTTTAAGAGATATAATGGTATCAATTATAGAGGAACTCTGCAGAAGCTTAACAATGTTTGCATTTCTACAGGCGAGATTCTCGTTGATAACCACAACATCAAGGATCTTGATTTAAAGTTCCTGAGGAAGAACATAGGGGCAGTTTCCCAGGAGCCATCACTCTTTTCTGGAACCATCATGGATAACATGAAGGTAGGAAACCTAGATGCAGATGATCAACAGATCCAGAACGCATCAGTTATGGCAAATGCGCACTCATTCATATCCCAGCTTCCAAATCAGTACCTAACAGAGGTTAGATACTTGTCCCCTTAGTCATCACCTCAGGCCTCTCCAACAGTACAAGGAGAGAAGTGACTCCTCCTGATCAATAACAATAATTAGATGATTACATCATAGAAAATTAAAAATTTCAGTGCCAAGCAAACTAAAAGAAAAGTGCAACTAAAACATACAAAGAAGACAAGATTCACGTAGCATTAAACAATGAAGAATCACCATGAGAAATACCCATATAACCCCTCAATAGTATACAGGCATATGGAAGTACAGAAGCAGCCAGAATGTATCTCTTTTAAGATATTATTTCCTGTTTGATGCTGCAATCGCCGACTCCATCTTAGCATAAGTGTTGCAGAATAATTTGATAATATGTACCCCCACAGCATGATTTCATTTAAAGAGACCCTATTCCAAGTGACTTTTGCTGTTCTAATATATTACAGGTGGGACAGAGAGGTGTCCAATTGTCGGGTGGACAGAAACAGCGAATTGCGATAGCAAGAGCGATTCTAAAGAACCCTCCAATTCTTTTGCTTGATGAAGCGACCAGCGCACTTGACTCAGAATCAGAGAAGCTGGTTCAAGATGCCCTTGAGACGGCAATGCAAGGGAGGACAGTCATCTTGATTGCACACAGGATGTCAACCATTGTTAATGCAGATATGATCATAGTTGTAGAGAATGGGCAAGTAACAGAGACGGGAACACACCGTGACTTGTTGGATACCAGTGAATTCTACAGAAACTTATTTACGATGCAGAATATCAGCATAGAAGATGACTCAAGGTTGGCACAAGCTGAAGAATTCTTTTTAATCACTTGTAGTAATCAAGATCAACAGAAACAAAATTGTATTATTAATTTCACTGGTGTGTTACAGAATGGCAGGCCCTACTGAAGAAACCACAATCACTGAGCAACAGGTTTCATTACAATACCAAAAGGAACCTCAAGAACCTACAGAGCTCAACAAAAATCTCACAAATCCTACAAAGGAAGAAGAACAGAAAGAAGAAAGAAAAGGAATTATATTCTTCAGGATCTGGTTTGGCTTAACGAAGCAGGATCTTGTGAAGACAGCTATTGGATCTTTTTCAGCAGCTATATCGAGCATATCAAAACCTGTTTTCGGGTTCTTCATCATAACAATAGGAGATGCATATTACCATAATGGTTCAATGCGGAAAGTTGGATGGTATTCAATGTTCTTTGCTTCAATAGGATTCCTTTCATTATTCAGCCACACTTTGCAGCATTACTACTTTGGAGTGGTTGGAGAAAAGGCGATGACGAACCTTAGACGTGCTCTATATTCAGGTACTTTACTCAAACACATTCCATCTTAATCGCTCTAATCATTAAATTTTCTGGCATATGCAAGAGCATTCATTGGAACTATGAACATTCAATCCTACTCTCATAGCAATTATGTCTGTCAGCTGTGCTACGAAATGAATTAGCATGGTTTGAGAAGCCTGAGAACAAGGTTGGCTCACTGACCTCAAGGATCATCAACGACACCTCCACTGTCAAGACCATAATCTCAGATCGTATGTCCGTTATTGTCCAGTGTATCTCCTCCATACTGATTGCAACAACTGTTAGCTTGATCGTGAACTGGAGAATGGCTCTGGTAGCTTGGGCTGTGATGCCTTGCCACTTCATTGGCGGCCTGATTCAAGCCAAGTCAGCCAAAGGATTTTCAGGTGACAGTTCTGGTGCGCATTCAGAACTTGTTTCGCTCGCTTCTGAATCCGCAACCAACATAAAAACCATTGCTTCTTTTTGCCATGAAGAGTACATACTCCAAAAAGCCAAATTATGCCTAGAGAAACCAATGAGGAAGAGCAAGACAAAAAGTGTCAAGTATGGGATAATTCAAGGCATATCGCTTTGCTTATGGAACATTGCCCATGCTGTGGCTTTATGGTACACAACAGTTCTGGTTGAAAGACACCAAGCCCACTTTGTGAATGGAATAAGAGCTTACCAAATTTTCTCCCTCACAGTGCCCTCAATCACAGAGCTGTGGACACTAATCCCCACTGTTGTATCTGCAATCAGTGTATTAGCTCCTGCATTTCAAACCCTTGACCGACAAACCGAAATTGACCCTGAAACACCTGAGAATTCACCTCTTGAGAGGATCAAAGGAGACATTGAATTTCAAAAGGTCCAATTTAATTACCCACAAAGACCTGAAGTGACAATACTCGACAACTTCAATCTGCAAATTGAGGCTGGATCAAGAGTGGCTCTTGTTGGGCCGAGTGGAGCTGGAAAATCTTCTGTGTTGGCTCTTTTGCTGAGATTTTATGATCCCAGAGAAGGAAGGGTACTGATAGATGGGACAAATATAAGAGAGTACAACTTGAAAAAGTTAAGGAGACAGATAGGGTTGGTGCAGCAAGAGCCCCTTCTGTTTAGTAGCTCAATCAGAAGCAACATCTGCTATGGTAATGAAGAAGCTTCTGAAACAGAAATCATACAAGTGTCGAGAGAAGCAAATATACATGATTTTATAAGCAGTTTGCCAAATGGATATGACACAGTGATTGGGGAGGGATCGCAACTTTCTGGTGGACAAAAGCAGAGAATAGCCATAGCTAGAACTCTACTAAAGAGACCTGCAATTATGTTGCTAGATGAAGCAACAAGTGCCCTTGACGCAGAGTCCGAAAGAGCTGTAGTGAGTGCTTTGGAATCGATACAACTGAACAGCAATGGTGGCTTGTTGTCAACAAAGACGACACAAATTACAGTTGCACATAGACTCTCCACAGTAATAAACTCTGATACAATAGTTGTTATGGACCAAGGTAATGTTGTGGCAATGGGTAGCCACTCAACCCTGATAACAGCTTCCGAGGGAGTTTACTCAAGATTATGTCGGCTCCAGAGCGTGAAGGAACATTAATACCTATACATTAGACACACACACTGTGTGCTTTATATATCATTATCATGTAAGTTTTTTTTCTTTTGAACGGATATTTTATGTAAGTTCGCTTAAAGGAATCGTCTGTGCCTTCCGAAATAAACATATTTTCTGTATTTTTTGTTTCTCAACGCTAACTGGGAGGGGTGACAAATGTGTTGGATTGAGTCGGGTTCGTTTCGTGTCATTTTGAATTTAGATTAAATTATTTACAAGCATCAATCAAAATTAAGAAGTTACACAAACACATAAATCAATGTTTAAGATTCCTTATGAATTTGTGTAGCTCTTTAATTTTGATTGACTACCTCTAAATAATTTTTTCTCTTTTGAGTTTGTATCGATCATTAGTCAATCATAACCTATTTAACTAATTGTATCGTGTAGTGTTGATCTATTTATTTTTACATCATATTTGTGTTGACCACGCTCATTTTTATGTCAAAAATTTCAATATCACTTAATCGAATTTATGATTATACTTTTTCTATAAACTAAAAATTAACTTTAATAATAAAAATATATATTTTTGTATAAGAATTAGATCACTACTTGATAAAATATAATAAAAAAATAACATTTTATTTTTATAATACTACTTAAATGTGTAAATTTTGTCACTTTCGTGTAATTCATTTTTTATACTAACTCAACTCATTTATTAGTCGTGTTAATGGATCGTTTTGTATACGAATTCATACAAAAAAATAGTTAATCTTAACATGTTACATTCGTATCGATTATGAATCGTGTTTTTGTGTTATGTCAGTAATTGTCAACCCTGCTAACTCCCGAGCCCTTTTTTTTTCTCTCTCTCTTTCAGTAAGGAAAAAAGCATTACAACGTCTCGATGACGCTGCCAAGAATTTTGATAGACACAAATACACATACAAACAACTCTTGTTGTAACACTCTAGTTCTGTCAGAGTTTCACTCAATTGTATTCTTGATAAAAAAAAAAAAAAAAACCTTGATATGCAATATACAATGGTCATTTCGACAGGCAGTAAACAATATACATAAAAAAATCAGTAAATTGAAGCTCACTGTATTGCCATTCTTAGAAGCACCTGTTATCATCAACAGTAGGAATAATTCTCAATAATTTTGTGTTTATGAGGGAAGAGGGGGCGTGGGGAAGACAAACTGGTTTAGTGATGACAACTAATCTTCAGTCATCGTATGTACACAAACTGCTAGTGTTCTATGGATAAACATCAGTGGTAATCCTTCAACCCCTGAAAGATCACTTTTCGAAGTAAAAGATTACCCAACAAAATCAGCAAGCTTAAGATTCTTCTTTGCCGATAACCTGAGTTGTGCTCTTGGAAAATAGTAGGTCTTTCATTTCTTTGTAAGCCCTAAGCTCCTCCAGTGCATCTGAAGTCTTCCGAGCTAAAAACGATCCAGAAGAAGCACCAAGTTCTCCCTCGAGTTCAGTCTTCAAGCAACGAGAGGAGTAACAACTAGAATCTTGCCTCAGAGGAGGTGCTGCTCTTAGCATTTGAATAAGGGCCCCAGCAGCAGCATCTTGAGATTTTCTAGCCATCGAAAATGTCTCCGATGCCTTTTTCCCATCCAGATACTGACTGCATAACGGGAAGGAAAAAGAAATGCTACGAGTCATGGAAAATTCCAAGACCAAACGAAGAAAGAGCAAGGTTGGTTACAGAATGAAACAGAAGTAACACACGTATGCCGCAAGATGATGTTGGAAGTGATTAGTAATTACCACAGTAAGTTTCAATAGTGAAAATACAATACAGGCTCAATGCAGATTGCCTCAAAGGAAACAGATAGTGATAATTAGAAACACAGACAGATAAATACATGTAAAACATATCCATCCATTTATACATATCGAGAGACAGAGAGTGTAGCAAACCAATATGACGGGCAAAATATTTAGAAATTAAGGTCCAATGATAATTCAAACAAATTGAACCAATACAGGGGTCCGAAAACTTGGGTTCTATTTGATAGCTAAACAAACAATCTAGCAGTGTTAGTTGCAAGATTGCTACTCCCTTACAAAGCATTTGTTGCCAACCATTGCCAAGTAAATTGATAATTGGATTGCAGGGGTAGCAGCAGCTAGACTCAGGAGGGGGGACACACTCCAATTGTATATAAACACCCAAATTGTCGGAGAAGAAAAGGACAACTCCTACATGGGAAACTGACACATGATTGAGGATGTCAATATTTGTAATCTGGCAAAAAATTTTAATCTATTTCCATTTTTATACAGGTTCAGATGCAGCCATGCCTTCATGCCTTCAGAAGTCATATATACTGTCTAGAGTCTAGACACCAGTTGTTGTAATCGTGGGACTCTGCCTTTGGCAATTCACACAGAGAAAAGTACCAAAGAAAACCAAATTTACAAGGCAATAAGAATACAGGGCCACATAGTTAACAGACCTAAAAGGTACTTGTTTACCAATGCAGATGTGACCTAAAAAATAAAACAAGCAGGCACATAGCAATTATTGCAGTGATCCTTCTTGATCAAAAAATTGACCCCAGGAAGGTACTATGCAGCATAGTTGTTAGTATCGTACGATACGTTACAATACGGAGGTAAAACGATACGGATCGTAGTTATGTATCGTTTTTGCATCATATCGTCCAATACACGATACGTTTTTACGATACGATACGTATCAGTACGATACGACTGACACACGTAAAACCTGTTTTTTTTTTAAACGACGTCGTTTTGTCTAAATAAGACACTAATTTTTTTTTTGTATAAAAATTTCTGAATCTTGATTAATTTTATGGATTGGATGTTAGAAATTTGGATTAAAAGTCTCTTTGGGGTTTGAAGTTTGAATTAGTGAACTATGGTTGTAAATTTTGCATTATAATATTAGCGAACTATGTTGATAACTTGAATAGGTGGTGAAGGATGAATGAAATGCTATATTTTTATGAGTGTATGATTTTTTTTCAAAGGTATATATATTTTTTTATTATTTATTTAAAATTGCACCGTATCTTACGATATACTATATACGATCCGATACACGATTTGATAACTATGCTATGCAGATATTGTGCAAAAGAATGAAGGGATGCCTACAAGAAAGCATTAAAAATCAGAGTCTAATTCTAAATACTCTTCATCTATGAGGCTCACCTTCAATTCCATAGATTGACTCCTAGTTAGTGGAACTCAGGTTTTAATGTTGCAAAATTTTGAATTCATACCACTGTGGATATGTCGAGAGCACAGGAAAGAAAAGACCAGGACACAATTTTGGGTGGGAGAAATAAAAGCTTTAGTGGGGGGATGAAAAGTTAACTATAGATACATGTGGCCCGATTTAATTGTGAATTACTAAACCATGAAATAAACTGCGGTAGACATCCTTTTGGACTTCCTTCTTGATCGATGACAACTGCTGCATTGTCATCATTACTCATTATCATACCATTGTCGCGTTTGAGCACTTTACATGTACGTATACTAACTGGGATCAATAGTGATCTTTTGAGAGGCATATTGAGTACTAATTCTTCGACTGTGGCAAGAAAACTATTATCTTCTTCCATTTCACTTCTACGGTTTCTTTAAATTTGTGACGTGTGGAAATGAAAGGGTGGTCAGATTGACCCTTCACTCTCAAAATAAGGTCACTTCAACACTCTAATACCTATGGATCAACTCATGGCGTGGCCTTTTTTCATGAGCACAATACTTAGAGCTTTAAAGCATTTTAAAATGAAGGAAGCTGATGTCTACATGTGTAATCATACTAGAATGATCTATAAACAGAAAATATTTGCTAAAAGTTCGCAAATTATCTAATGTTACATCAAAGAATCCAGTTATCCATAGTGAACAAAGAATTGCACGAATTAAGGCTGAAAACAGGAGAATAAAACTACAATAAATATGGGCATCTGATACATGTTTGCAAAAAAACACTTCCAAAGAGGTTGAGAGCCTCTTTCAATCTATTATTTGCTACTAGGGTTAAACAACCTAATTTGTCAAGCTGTCACCCTGTCCCAGAGCAGGGTTCATACACAGAAGCAACTTGGAATATTATTACCAATTTGTTACCTAGCATGGGAAAGTTCAAAGCCATGCAATAAAAGTGGGCTCTATTTGAGAGATCTTAATGTGATAAATTGTTCAATTTAGCTTTAGCTACCCATTAACCAATTTAAGTACTCTTCCCTGATATCAGTGAATAAGCAAACTTTGGTGTGCACATGTTAGTTGGGTATCTTTGGAAAAGTAACATGCGAATGGATTAAGGGAAAATCTTCTTAGAAGTATGTGAAGAAGCCTTCTTTGCAGTTTCTCTATTCCCACTGTATTGCTCTTTCAGAATTTGTTCCTTGATTAGTAGCATCTAAAGCAGCTAACGTCCAAGAGCCATAAGTTTACCCCCTTTCCTGTTTAAGAAATTATTAAAGATTTCCTCGACAAGGACAATTTCAACAGTCCTCTAGAAAACTCAGATGTTTGAGAATTCATTAAGGTCTAAACCTCACAGAAAAAACTTATTTTGTAGAGAAAAGATATCTTTAGTTATTTCAATGACTTTTTATGGTTTTACACTAGATGGACAATTGATTCTAGCCATTGACCTTAATAAGGCATTACAAGCGTCTTTCTACGCAAAATAAGATGTGAACTCAATAAAGCTTTTTGACATGTTTAATTTTCTCTTTCAATTTTTTCAACCATCTAAGAATGCAAATTGCTATTCAGCTTGTATTCATCAAATGTTTTTCGTTACATTTTTTTTCCAGCATTAGCGTTCTTCGGCTTATACCATTTTTGTGATTATCTGCTCAAGTTATCATTAAACTTTTCCTGTTATTAAATCTACTGTGAAAAAAATCAATGTTAAACAGATATCATATTATAAGCAGTAATCTTGCTTATCATGGTAAATAGATAAGCAAGATTAATTGACAGAATGGCTGGCATGTGAAATGCAGATGGCTTCTGTTCCTTACTTTCTTAGGGCCGTCAACAGTGGAATTCTGACACACATAGTATACTAAAGCAATGAAGTAAACTTAAGTACCTGGCTTGGGAATCAGGATCAACATCATCAACAATGAAAGGACAAGAGAAGTCACAATCATCCAAATCATCCTGCAAAGAGAATCTACTAGAGCTCCTCGAGAATCCAATTCGTGGTGAGCCACTTGAAGACAGCAAGGCTGAGAACCTCCCTGAATCATCTTTGCTATCTCTTGAGATCTGTGGAACATAACAAATGAGACCTCTACGCCAAACACAATGTAAAGATGTGAATTACAATCAACTGTGCAGGATAAACAATTACGCGGGACATAGGATGAGAAAATGAGCCCACCTTCTGAATAGCATATTGATTCGGTATCCCAGAATTCAACTCTGTGGCCCTCAATGAATCCGATTTCTTAAGTGACCTGATTCCAGATGGGGACTCTTGGGATGAAGGATCCTGCCTCGTACTTCTGGGGGATAGAGGTGGAAGAGAATGTCTACTTGGATCTGACAAATTGGGCGAAAGGTATCTGGAACTTCTGCCCATCATCGGATGAGGAATGCTTACAGGGGCAGTCTCTGAATGCAGACGAGTTTGCACATGAGTCCCACCGGAAAGATATGTTGGGGGAGACGGGGAAGGAGATGATGAAAACGGAGGTGAAAGCTGGTACTCATCAAAGCTTGTGGTTTTGTGGTGAGTTGGCAATCTATAATGTTGACCCCTAGGCCCATGTACATCAGTAGGTGAAGAAGAATACTCATACAGCATAGGTGAATGATACATAGGAGGAGATCCACTGAAAGGTCGGTTCTGTGCTAAAGGAGCTACTCCCTTGTGAAGGCCACTTGTCCAGCTGTGCGGGCGTTGAAATGGGGACATAGAAGGTGGTTGCATCCCTCTGAATGGAACGGATGTAGCACAAAAACCCTTGTCATCAGAGGGAAAAGCCCTCAGAGGGTCAGTGGCAGGGCTACGAACGTAATCTGTAATTATCTCTGGTGGGAACGATGTAGACGTCTCTAGATTGAAATCAGACAGACTTTCCCGATATGTCACAGATATAGAAAGGCGTCCTTGTTGGGCGTCGACAGGAACAAAACTATACTGCTTCATCACTTCCTCCTCTGCCCTGGAAAATGGAGCACTAAATGAAGAGACCTTGTAATTGATCTCAAAATCACAAGTCTGACTTGATGAACATAGCTTCTGAAAGGCCTTATATGCTGGAAGAAGCCTCAGCATTGAATAGAGTGAGCGTAGAAGTATAATCGATTTCTGGTATGTTTTCTTGTAAGAGGCATCACCAACTTGAGGAGACGTTGCCCCTATACACTCATATTGAACAACCCATCTCTCTATTACCGTCTCAACAAAAGTCCCCAACCCCAAAGCAGAACGTGACTTTAGTTCAGGCATAGAATTTGGGGTTTCTTGAACAAGAATTATGTCAATTATCATCGGTTCCATTAAATTCCTTTGCCAGAAATTCAAATCATCTAAAGCAGCTGGACGATCTCCTAATACTAAGCTGAACCATTTGTCACTCTTTTTCACTTCCCCACTGCGATTATATGGACGAATAGAAGGAACCCTTGAATCCAATGTGATATGCAAGCTTTTCAGAAGAAACTGTGTAAGTATTTGTTCAAACCGTCCGTATTCACCCTGAGAATTACTGTGCAGATCCATATTTCTATACCAACAAATCTTTACACGAATATTCTATCCACCACTTTACATTGCACTTCCATGTACCACTCTTAGCAGCTAATCATGAAAATTCGATAAACCTTGCACTAAAAACGTAGTGAAATTCAGATCCATTAACAACTGACATACACAATGGATCATCTATCAAACAAAGCCCTCTAAAATGTACGTATGTACACCTGAAAATAAATTCCACAGATAAACTAAGAATCTCGCAAGAAAATCGTCATCGATGATGCAGGGGATTATATGGGAACTCTAGAAGGTCAAATCAAGTACAGATCAAGCTGATCGAAATCAAATGAAAAGAATATGATGAGGACGACGACTACGATTAATACTAAATAGAAATACTAATTAAAACTGGAATTAGGAAACTGATCAAAGAGAGAGATTTCAAAAAAACTGGACCAACTGATGATGAAGCTAAAGAAGGAAAACTTACTTGAGAGAAATTAGAGTTTTTGTGCCGAGCTGACAGAAGGACTTCGGAGGCGTGAGATCAATACGAAGAACAGAGGAGAGAGATGGCGTAGAAGGAGAGAGAAGGTACTGAGAGATTACTTTCTTAATTATGATATGGATTAAATCAATCTATTAATTAATAAATTGAGATTGAGAATATATGGCCTCGTTTTCATTCATGGCAGGCAGGCAGGCAGGCGTGCGTGTTAAGGAGAAATTAAATTGCAAAAACATCCAATAATTCCTCCTTCTGGCTTCAGTTCTCCACTCCACCAGCCAATAATCACGTTGCTTTGCGTGAGTCAAAGGGGTAGAAAAAGGATCAGTTATAAATTAATAGTACAATGTTAATAGTTTTGATAAAGATGTTGATAGTAGTTGAATGAATCTATTTAACACCGTCGAATAAGTTTATTGAAATTTAGTCTATTTTATATTATAGATGTCTTAAGTTTAAATTTTAATAATTTTTTAAAATTATAAATATCCTAATTATGATATAAATAATTTAACTTTGACCAAATCGATGATTTTTTAAACTAGTAGATCCATGCCAAAGGATCCTTAGTACGGTGGTATCGATGTGAATGTAATGAATTCACTAATTTATTACCTGAAATTGCTTTAAACTCAATCTTCCTACTTATGTATTTACGAGAAACTAAATACATCAATGTCATAAATAGAAGGTGCTTGTATTAAGTAAGACAGTGACATGCACTGTTTCAGAAACCAAAACAATAATGAAGACCAACGGGAGAAAAACTACAAGATGCAGAGTTGGAAGGGTAAAAATGGGATAAAAATATGAATTAAATAATGAGGTTTTATTATAATGGAAAAAAATTAAATATTAAATATATAAAAGGTAGAATTAACACCACCATTATGATAATATGACATTATTTAGTTACATTTTTTTGTCATATTACTTGAGTCGAAAAATAATTGAATAAAATAAATTCAAAAATCCAACCCCCAAATAACATTAATCTGGATAATCGAACTCAGAAGAACAGCCACTTTGAAATTGAGTTATGAATAAAATAAGAAACAAATTGAAGAAGAACTTAAAGATCTCAAGGATGACCCCAATATCGAAGACTATCGCTTCTTCATAGAATACAAGTGTTTTATAATCTCATATCGGTTAAAAATAAGATTAAATGTGTATATATAAACTCTTAAACATTTTACTCTTGCAAGTTGATTTTCAGGAGCGACTTCTATCCACGAGTTCGTATTAATTTGTATCAGAGTTATCCACCATGTCGAGTATAAGATCGAACACAATGTGAGCTACGACTCTCGATAGTCGAATCACAAAAATGGCGACCTATATGTTGAATTAAGATGACTTAGTATTATCTCATTAGATATTGATAAGTGAGTGAAGTCGCCAAAGAGAAAAGACTATTGGTAAGTCAATACGATAGTATAGTCCATTGTGGATGTCAGTTACAAAAATCTAATAGAATGTTACAATCTTATATCGGTTAACAATAATATTAGATGTATGCATATAAACACTTGAACACCCTTCTTTTACAAGTAAATTTTCAGCAACAATTTTATCCATAAGTTCATAACAAGGTGCTATGTTCTTCCTCAATTTCCCCTTGCCATCTGTTTGGTTTCGAAGAGACCACAAAGTAAACGACGTTATAAAAGAAAAATGAAACTATTTTCTGTCGCTGAATTAGTATAGTCTAGATAAAGAAATATTTGCCATAGCAACAATTTCAAGTTTGATTTCAATAGAATTGAAGGTGTAAAGCTCCATTCAAATTCGCATCAGCTATGGTAATTGCTATCCAAATCAATTTGAAAACTACTTTTAGTATTAAAATAGTGCAATAAGGATAATTTAGTAATAAAAAATAATTAAAGAACTTAACTGCTTAACAAAATATCAGGTGTGAGACTTCATGCAAAAAATGTTTAAAGCATGTATTTCAAACGTTAAAAGTCTCCTAAATACGATTAACCCCCAATTTTTTGTAAAATATAATGGTATCGCATAGAGTTAGAATTGGGCTGGATTTCTGCGAAGTTGGGCCAACACCGTTTAGACACGTAATGTATACTCAAAGTACTATAATGTTTGTGGCTTTTCCGTTAATTTAGGCCCAGACTAGAGGTTACAAGTTTACAACTTCATGATGGGAGTCGAATCCAAATCCAAGAGACAAAGAGAAAGAGGAATAACAGATAACCATGTTGTCACGTGACTTAACACATGAGCACCATAATGATGACATGTCATGCCACATTATCAAATTTTAAATTTTATAACGGTCATATTTACAACGGCTAAAAGCTCAAAAACAACGGTCACATTAGACAAATATTATGTAGGAAAGCTGTGTTGTTCTTTTGCGGAATCAGACACTGACTATTCATTGTCTTGTTAACATGAAAGACACTAGTGTTCTGCAGTGACCACTCTGGTGTTAACCTGAAAGATCCAAGCTCCATCAATTGGGAATCATGTACAAGTATATTCATTAGGACTGCTACGCATGGGACCTTAAATTTTACTAATATAACAATTAAGATATTCATTATAAGAGAGTGGTTCTAGAAACTCCACAATGTCACATGGGCGTGTCCCACGTTATAACCACATACTCAAACTGTCCACCACAATCCGAAACCCACATTGAACTCCTAAAGGGCCTACCTCTTACGCATACATAATTATCATCTGCCAAAACAAAGTTAAAGAAACCAAAAAGCAAGTGTGAACTGCCAAAAAGTATTCACTCATTCATAAAGGAACAAAGAGATTTTCCACTAAAGAAACAATTGCAAGAATCAAAAAGAAAGGAGGACTATAAAGAATTGGCACAAAACAACCAAATCATAATAACCATAACCTGGGAAAGAATGAATCTCTTTAAGAAATTGAATCAAAATTAACAGTACATAGTCATAAAAACCAAGAATTAGCACATTATGGACATATTGAGTAAAAAAGATTCATTAAGAGAGTAAGAGAGAGAGAGAGAGAAAGAACAATAATGAGAAAGATATATGATTTACTTTGGTGGAATCGAGCCAAACAAAATTGAGAGGATTGAAATCGAGCCAAACCAAGTTTTTGAACAAACCCAGAGGCTAACCAGAATTATTCAATTGAGAACTAAACTCCAAAATCACTAAACTGAATAGGGTCTCAAGTTTTGAGTTATGAGCAACAGAACTACATTGTCAAGCCAAAACAGAGAGAAATTCAATTTAACAAAGGTGCAGTATCACAAAGGTGCAGGTATAGGTTGATGAGAAAACAAGCCAAAATTTTTTATTGAAATGAGTTCAATATTCACATACATTTAACGAAAAATAGGTATTGAAACAAAACTGTTAGCCCAAAACCAAAACAATCACTACCTAAGAGTGCAGAGAGACTGTATGAGAGAGACGAGCGATGAAATACTTGTTAACTGAAGGAAATGAAAGGGTGTGTTGAAGCAAAATCTTAAACCCTTATTGATTGATGATGTTGGCCACGAACAGAGATCGACGATGGTGGTGGGGGAATCTGGTGACTCCTGGGACGCTCCACCAGCAGAGAGAGTTTGAGAGTGCATGGAAAGAGCTCTGATGAAGAACAATCCCAAAATTGGCGCAAAACTTTGATAAAAAACAACTTAAAATTGGGGAGAGAGAGCTCTGATGAGAGAGAGTCTTGTTAGCCAGAACTGATAAGTGAAAATGGGGAGAGACAGATTAGCCAGTGAAATAGAGAGCTGGTTGGAGAGGAATTTTTTGAATAAACTCAGCAAAATAACTAAAAGACGGCTTTTGTTGAGAGCGTTAGAGTTGCTCTAAGAAATTGAAATTGCTAAACTTTAGGGGCAACTTTTAATAATGGGGGCATTGGCATCTCTTTTATTTTAAACTTAATCTCCAAATTTGGTTCCATGATTAAGGGGTGTAGGTTGGGGCATTGGCTTTTGACAAAGTGATGTGAGATGAAACAATAAAATAGGGAGGGGAAACTATTAATTAGGACATTGTGGTATCATGTGATACCGAATCATTATTAATACGTGATTGTCGCTTCAAAATTTATTCAGATTGACAGAGATATTTCACTTGATAGATTATTTTTAGGCAATTGATGTAAGAGGTTCAAATATCTTATTTTAAGATTTATTTAGATAAAAATAATGAACAAACATACAGTACAGAGAATTAATAAAAGATGATTCATTTATAATTCAATCGAAAGAACTTTAACTACTAGAATGTTAAATAAAAAAACCCTAATTGTAATAATAACTGCATTCTAAAACTAAAAATTACTCTTGATAATGTTTAGATCATGGGCCTTATGGGGGGGGGGAAGGGATTTGAGTATATCTTGTATTTTCCACCAAATACTTTTTTTTATAGCCATTATTTTTGATAATTTTGCTCTGAACAATAGTTATTGTAAAATAATTTCTAGTTAATTAATTTTTTTTTTCAAATATATATGTTAATGATCATCTCCCATATTTCTTTGGATTTTATTACTTGACACTTTCTCGTTAGACCTACGATGCCAAATGTATATACACTTTATTTTCAAATGTATGTGTCAAATTTTCAACTATAGCCCTGCATATGAAACGACTTTCTATTTATGACATTTTTATGTATTGTCCAGAAGCTGGGTGTGAACCGAGTATCATACGAATCCAGATCCCAACGAAGCTACACAACGAAAGTGGGCCGCAGTCCAAACGTGTCGGCGTAGGCTTGGGTATGCAGTGACGTACTAGAAGGCGAGACGACTTCTTCCAATAATTGACAAATCGTAATAAACAAAGTTAACCAAAATAACAAGCAACGAGCATTAAGGCATTATAAAGCTCTAAAGCAGATACATTGAACCTGGACATGGAGACTCTGGGCCTATAAAGAACCACCACATCAACCATCTGTTACTGGCACTTCAACTTCAAACCAAACAGCAACCCTCAAAACCTCTTTACACTATTTTTTACAATTTCCGATTTGTGAAGCATCAATTTTGTGCAGAATCTGAGACTGAAATGGCTCCAACCATAGCCGTGTCCTCCGCACAAACGAAGCCGCTCCACCACAACCACCGCAACGCTCCGGCATCGCCGGAGGAGGAGGAGGAGGTGTTGAGGAAGAGAAACGAGGAATTGGAGAAAGATTTGAAGAAGAGTCTGGAGAGAGAGGAGAGGATGAAACTAGAGCTGCAGAGGACATGGGAGAGACTCAGGGTGGCGGAGGAGGCGGAGGAGCTGCTTTGCTCCCAACTTGGGGAGCTCGAGGCGGAGGCCGTCGACCAGGCCAGAACATATCGTACTCGTGTATTGTCGTTAATGGAGCAACTTTCCACTGCCCAGAAACTTCTTCAGGCTGCTTCAATATCTCTCCCCAATTCTCAATGACGGTCGGACGGCCGGCGAACTCCGGGATCTCCGGCTTCACAGTGGAAAATCCAGATGGTGCACCTAGCCTTGTGTTTTAATGTAGTTTCGGTGTCGGTGTTTTGCTTAATTTGAGTATTTCCACGGTTGTCTTGGTGTAATTACCATGTAAATCGTCAATGTATACACGTTGACAATGATGCAGAAGATTTGAGTTAGGAGTAAGAGATGTGTGCCTAGTTGTATTTCTCAAAGTTTGTGGGTAAATAGACAAATAGTTTGAAGTTTTGTTCCCTTATTTCTTCTGTTCCAATATTGAAGTTGTGTTCCCTTATTGAATTTTTGTTGAATATGAACTTCCCGGTACTCATATTAGCATTTGATAGATCTTATACAATAACTGTTTTACTTCTACTATGTCTTTTGTTTCATTTGTTTTGAAACAATCATAAACACGTTTTTTATTATTGGTCTACGTTTTTTATTATTGGTCTACTATCAAAAATTCAATGCATAATCTTACGACGCGTACTAATCATCCCTGAATAATCTAATTTTTCAGTTATTCAACTATTTTATTTTATCAAGTTCAATGCTAGCATTGCTGAAGATTTTATATTACGAGCAAATTTACCCAATTTAGAAAAAAACACCAACATAACCAAAAAGCTTTTGGGGAAAGTAGCCAAGTAGGTGATAACGGGTTTGCTTAACCTGTCAAAGTCGTTGCAACAGAGACATTAGGCAAACTAAACATCCAACAGGTAATATACCTAAACGTCTGTTTTTTTCGGAAGGTTACCTAAAAGTCATTCACGTGGTTGGTTGGAAAAGAACAAGAAAGGGCTGGAACCTAGTGATAATAAAGGCCTGCTGTGAAATTGCCCACCAATAATTTGAAGAGTAATGTTATAAAATTTGAATAAAATTTAAAAATTATAATTTAAATGTATATTATTTTTTAGATGAGTGAGTTCTATTAATTTTTTTAGACTTATTTATCTTACACTCATTTTAGGGATAATATATATTTTTGATTTTAATTTTTAAATTTTATTTGAATTATATAAAAAATTTTAATTTGAAAAGTAACGTTATAAAATTTAAAAATTATAATTTAAATGTATATTATATTTTAAATAAGTAAGTCCTATTAATTTTTTTTAATCGAACAAGTAATCTTGAAGATGCCCAGAACAGTGAAGTCAAGTTGTAGGATACGTCTCTCAAAAAAAAAAAAAAGTTGCTGGAGACGGCTCAAAAGCCATAGGTCATACTATTGACAGATGGTGACCACTTGACCAACCTTTGATGTGAGGTTGTGACCGTTCCTTGCTCTTGAATTTGTCAAGGGCAATGAATTTGTCAAGGCCAATGAATTTGTCAAAGGTTCGACAATGAAGGTTGATTGCTACTTTTGAGAAGGGCTTTCAAACTCATAGCGTGTTTAAATTTTCAATTAATCATATTTTTTATTTTATTTGAATTTATTTGATCTTATTGACCGACTAACTAAAAAAATCAAATAGAAATGTGACAGAATTTTTAGTTTTTTAATTAAGTCGAGTGAGAATGCTTAATAACTATTAATTTTTGTATTTTTATCATACCCTACTCGCATTAATTTATATATATTAATAACTAAAAACTATAATTCCTTAATTATATAATTTAAACTTAAAATAATTGTTATTATATTTATGCAATAATTATGATGGATTGATATTTATGTTTTTTTGTGTATTATTGTAATTGTTGTTATAATTGTTTTAAGTTTTAGTGTTATTAATTTATTATGTTGTTAAATTGGTGTATGTTATATAATTAAATTGTTAAAATGATCCAAAAAATAATAATTATAAAAATATTAACTCAATTTTTTACTTGATTAATTTGCTCAGAAGTCGAATAGAAATACCACATTTGATCGAGTAGAATAGGTCAATAAAAAATTCTTCTACAAAATATTGAATAAGAAGATAAAATATCATATTTTCTACCTGTAAGGTAGAATGAACACCCCTATCCATGCATAAGCTAGAGATAAGTTTAAATTGTCATTCTAGAAAAGTAAATGTAATTTTACTTGGAACTTGAAGAGACAATTTCTACGAAACTCATAATGTCCACATTACAACCGAGTAGTTTTACCACTTTGACATATCTGATCTTTTGATGCAAGGATAAGCCTTATTTTTTAAGAGCTAATATATTCATTCAAATAAGAAAATGTTGAATACAATCAGATGATAGTAAAATCTTAAACTTAGGCGAGGGATAACTGATCAAACTCAATGGAATAGAATTGAACAAAACATTTGTTGTGACCTAGTAAACTACTCCAGTAAGAATAACTGCAACAATACTCACTAAAATAGCTACTGAAAGTATATTTAAATATTATATTATTTATTTTAGTTAATCATTTTTTAAATTCATTTCAACCACGCTATTTATTTTAATCAACTATTTTAACTAATTTTCAATAATAAAATTAAAAAAATAACAATTCAACCATAAATTATATAAATTTAATTTTTTCCTTTTGATTTTATATTGTTGGTGGTATTCGACAGAATCCTCCGAAATGTTGAATTCAAGGGACGAAAGATATATGACAACTGATATTTAAAGTTTGACAACAGAAGCTAAATCCAAAGAATTCCCTTTTCAATAATGCAATCCAAATATTTAAATCAAAAAAGCAAGATCTGTTAAGTTTAGCAGATAAGTCCAGAGCTGTATCAAAGCAAGATCAGAACTGTGCGTGCAAGATCCTGCACAATATAAAAAATGGGAACAGATCTCTTCTCTGGTGAACTCGAGTGAGCGGATGGAGTGACCAAACACGCTGCTTGGGACAGCCTGCGAGGTACGGTGGTAACCTGGAACGGCAACGGGAGACCCTGGGAAAGGAAGAGCGATCCTGTAAGGCTGGAAGGGGTTCCTGGAACAAAGAAGAACAAGTTAGAAGGGCGCCGGAGTATTTTTTGGCGTATCCCCTCCGACGATCTAGTCAGTCTTTGAGAAAGAGAGAGAGAGGATAGAGAAAACACTGTGTGTGTATTGTAGTAGAGAGTTTGTTGTTGCATACCCGCTTTGCCTTTTGCAAGGAGTATTTATACCTTAAAAGCTCATGATTGCTGTCAGTATCGTCAGTAGGTGATCATTAGGCTCAGGTAGCATGTGCATTGATTCTGATGAGGAATGTCTTCTCTAATTAACTGCTCGGGGTCCCGAGCAATCAATGCTGGATCGACGGGATGCCAACGGTACAATGTGCTCCTCTCGGGAAGAATGCAATAAATACTCTGTAATAGGAGCATTTATTGCCTTTCATTTCCGAGCCTTACCGCATTGAATGCGGTCTCATCAAGGGAATGGTGCAATTAATTGTTTGCTTTCCCAAGTCGCGTGTTTGGTCACTCCACCCGCTCACTCGAGTTCACCAGGGGAGAGATCTGTTCCCGTTTTTTATATTGTGCAGGATCTTGCACGCACAATCTGGCGCCGTCTGTGGAAAACGACTAGTTTTCCTAGTTTTTTTCTCTATAAAGAACAGTGACCATGGTGAACACTCGTCAGAAAGGGAAAGGACCCCACCAAAGGAGTCTCGAGTTACAAGCTCCCTGTTATCACGGAGGGAGGGATCATACCAATACGAATAAAAGTGCCTCTACTCGGTCGAGAGGGGTTACCCCTCAAACCAGTATGGGGATCAGGTCAGGGGGATCAACCCCCTTGGCTCGTCAGCTGGCGGAGGTGATTGAAGAAAAATTTGGCGATAGATTACATCAGCTGGAGAAGGACAATGTAAATGTCCTTAGCCGGCTCGACGAGTTTGCCGCCTCAGGTGGAGGGTCGAGGGATTCATTCCTTTCCCGTGGACTTCCCGCCCGGGAGGCGGAAACGAAGGATCTAAGAAACCACCTAGACCACAAAGCAGAAAGCTCTAGGGCCCCAAAGCGACCCAGAGCCGGCGAACATCATCATGACAACCATTCCAGGAAAGCAAGGCCATTGGCCCTAGACGACCTCTGGCGAGGTTTGTCTAGACGGAGGAAGGGAGATGAATCCGAGGAGGAGGAATCAACCCAATCCACACGACGCCCAGGAAATGAGGGGCTTACCAATGAACTCAGGGACTTCAGAAGGCATTCCGTCAGGGAAGAAGTTGATCTCAGAGCCCGATTAGACTCCAGGAGAAAGGGGTAAGACTGTCCAAGATGAGGCCGAGGACGAAGTCATACAAACACCCTTTACGAGAGAAATCAGTGAGATGGAGGTCTCAAGGAAGTTCGTCGTGCCGCGGTTCAAAACCTATGACGGGCGGTCCGACCCCGAAGCCCACATCAGGCAATACAAGCAGATGATGTCCCTCTATCATTCGGACCAACGATTTCTATGCCGAGTGTTCCCTATGAGCTTGGGGGACTCTGCGATGAAATGGTTCGAGACGCTTCACCCAAACAGTATTGGGTCCTGGAAGGAATTGACTAGGCAGTTCCTGGCTCGATTCATTACGGAGAGTAAGCGCCCCAAAGACATAGGATCATTGTTGACCCTCAGACGGAGGGAATCCGAGACTCTTCGCCAGTACGCCATCCGATACTGGGAAGAGGTCAATGAGGTAGAAGGCTGCTCGGAGGCCATGGCAGCAGCATCTTTCCGGCTCGGCTTGGCGAGGGACACGGACCTGTACCGATCCCTGACCAAGAAGACTCCCTCGGATATGGGGGAACTGATGGCCCGGATCAACAAGTACTCGAGGGTTGAGGACGAGATGGGAAGCAACAAAGGCCGAGCCCTCCAGTCTAAGAGAAAGGAGAAGGAGCGCGAAGATATTCCCCGAAAGGGATTGCTACCCCATCCAGGGGGTTCGTCCAGGGGAGTTCACACTGTTTTCAAGGAGCCCATCTTCAAGTTGCTCCATAAAATCAAGCACGAGCCGTTCTTCAAATGGCCCCCCAGGATGTAGGGCGACCCCTCCACCCGTGATCAAAAGGTTAGGTGTTCCTATC